TCAGGTTCCTCCCTACGTTCACGGGTTTATCATCTGCCAGTTTCTCAAGTAATCTCCACAAGTCTTCATCTACCTGAGTATCTCCCGTATCCACCTGGTTGCGATCATAGCGTTTTGCTTTGAGCGTCTCTCTCACAATTTTTGATTTGAGCATAATCTCTATCGGCATCCCTCGGCTCTTCTTCAAGATTGTTTTCTTTGGAGGCTCTTCTGGTAATTCGGGATGATCTTTTATCGGTTTGCCTGACTTGTCTAGCCATCTCGTGAGCAGAAGACTGTCATACGTTTCTTTGTCCATGAAGGAGAAGCCATCATTAATTTCGGGCCTGTCCGCCTCCCTCTGTTCCTGTCTTTCGTAGAATTCCATCTTCTTACTCAAGCTATCGGCATTCTGATGTTTGTCCCTTGTTCTATGCTCAATTATCATGTTGTACCCATCCAAGCGAACTATCTATCTCCCAATGTAGCCCTGGTCCATCGAGTACGTCTTTAGCCGGCTGAGTGCCCTGTTGTCGACCCGCAGCTTAAATGGCTCACTGCCTAAGTATGCTCTGTTTTTCTCGACAAAAGTAACCACCGCAAACATCTCTGCTTTCGGTGCCCCGTACTTCATTTCTGTATCACTCAAGACTTTGCTCCCGTATGCTATTGGTCTTAAGACTGTCTTCCCGTTCCATTCTTGTTCTTGATGGAGAATTCCAGAAATCGCGACTACCGACGCGTCCGTATCCAACACGTACATCCCTTTTTCCGTTGGCATCCCTAACACCGGTGCCTCGCACAACTCTTTCTTTATTCTCTGAAATGATTCTTCTGCTGCGTTGTTCCATTTGAACTTTTTGCCTTTGTGTCTCATTAATTGTTGCATCGGGTATACCTTGTCCGCATAGCCCTTGATGAATTCCCTGTATTAGTTCGCAAAACCTAGGAAGCTCATCAACTGGTGTTCCGTTTTTGGCGATTTCCAAGTTAGAACTGCTTCCACTGCATCTGGATCAGGTCTATTAAAATTTTACTAATTCGTGATCCTAACAGTATCCGATTTATCGCGATTTAACGTTCCGACTACTCCTATCGCTTTTGATTCAGTTATTTCGACCTGTCTTAAGACCCCTTAGTACCGTCACACCACTTCTTCGTGCTGTCCCAAGCTTTCTCATTACTGTCCCAAAACTATTCGGTGCTGTCCTAGTACTTCTTGTTAGTTTACCAAGACTACTGTCCCAAGACCTTTGCCCCAAGACTACTGTCCCAAGACTACTGTCCCAAGACTACTGTCCCAAGACTACTGTCCCAAGACTAGTGTCCCAAGACTACTGTCCCAAGACTACTGTCCCAAGACTACTGTCCCAAGACTACTAACCCAAGACTAGTGTCCCAAGACTACTGTCCAAAGTGTATTGTCCCAAGACTACTGTCCCAATACTACTGTCCCAAGACCACTGTCCAAAGACTAGTGTCCTAAGACCACTGTCCCAAGACCACTGTCCCAAGACTACTCTCCCAAGGCCACTCTCCCAAGACCACTGTCCCAAGACCGACCACTGTCCCAAGACCAGTGTCCCAAGACCACTGTCCCAAGACCACTGTCCCAAGACCAGTGTCCCAAGACCGTACCGTCCCAAGACTGTACTGTCCCAAGACCGTACCAAGACTGCTCTGGTCCAAGACTGTCCCAAGACTGCACCGTCCCAAGACTGTCCCAAGAATGCACTGTTCCACGACTGTCCCAAGACTGCACTGTCCCACGACTGTCCCAAGACTGCACTGCTCCAAGACTTCTTCGGTACTGTCCCAAGACTTGTCACCAAGTGTTTGTATAGTAGGACTTCCTCCTTTTCGTTGTGGGAACTCCTGAACCACTGTACCGTGTACCATCACTTGAGCTCTAGTAAAATTTTTCCCAAAAACCTTGTCCTAATGGCCAAAAGCTTCAAATACTGACCCCCCTGTTTTTATCTCCCTCTCGTTGTTTCAGGCAATTTGAAACCCAACTTCTTCGCAGGTTTTTTATGATCACCTGTTCGTTCAAATACCAAAAACAAATTCTCACCAAAACTTAAAAATTTAAACAGGAAAAAAATATAAAAAACAGAGAGATGAACCCACCTAAAACTCAAAGCTGACAGATGTCAAACTTTGTCCGAAAAAACGTCTCGTACCCGATTGCCACGCGTTTTCCTCCCCCCTGATAGTGATCTTATGGGGTATCACAAAAATTGTCTATGTCCGTTCACCCCTACCGATCCGACCAGGGTATTACCTTATTCGATGTTAAATTTGGATATCCGCTTCTTATAACCGACGCGTGTAAGAATCTAATGTAACTAAATCGACGATGCCGATCAATTAGTTACCCTAATGTGTCCTACCTTTTTACACTTTACAACCACCAACCTCTAACCTAACCAGCCCCCTTCTAACCTCCCTCCTCTTTAGCCCCCCTCTTAAGCCGAAAATTCCCTTAAGCGCCGGGTGCTAAACCTCTCGAGAGAAAACCGTAGACCTGTTTCCAGGCCTGCTTGATTAAAAACTTCCTCAAAACAATGGGGTTCCGCTTATCCAATTTTACTTTTATTTCCTATAATGAAATGTGGATTTTAACGATACCCGTTTGTCCCACTTGAGAACACCCCTGCGCGTCCTCCTCTTGTTTTACCGGTCCCGTGCTGGTTGTCCCCTCAACTTGCACTGCACTTGAGACCAGCACCACCTTCCCACTTGGCTGGTCACCTCTTCCAGTCAAGTCTCCTAGCAGTTCAGTACAATCCTTGCGAACCACTTTCCCACTCGGCTGGTCACCTCTTCCAGTCAAGTCTCCTAGTGGTTCAGCTAAGTTGCAAGCTATCTGAAAACCCTTAACAACGACCCCCACTTGGGCACCTTATTGAGGTTGCTGGATTAGATTGCTTGGTTGATCGAAACGATCGGTCTTATAAAACAGTATGGGTATACTATATAATTAATATAAAGGTTTGATCCAACTAATCTGGTCTCAAAGTCACTGTCATTTTTGTTTTATGGTTTTTGTTCCTTTTTCTATTCTTTTTTCTTGTTTTTGTTTCGCTTTTTGTCTTTTTGCTCGTGTTTTTGTCCCCCTAGTTACCCCCCTTTAGTCGTTTAGCTAAGCCTCGTTCGGAGAGCGTACCAGGAGGTTTTCTCGAGTTTTCTTAAAAAACTATCACGGTACAACCGGAAGGTTTACAAGTTCCCGCTGAACCGTACAATCGGTATTCTAGAATGGGCATGTAGCCCGGAGCTGTGTCAAGTGGGTTCGACTCCGTAGTCATGATGTCGTAGAAACACCCAGGAGCGCCATAAAAACACTATGTAACGGTCGCCTACTTCGGTCACATATGAGGCTTCAGAAAAATAGGCCCTATAACCATTGGCTCAAGAGTCAGGGACACTATCTCTTGTGTTTTTCTACCTCAAAACGGTCGGAGCCAATTCGGTTCACTTGCGACATGAGACTAGAACCCGTTACAGCTTAAAAACCACTACCAAAATACCCCCCACTCTAGAAAATAAGAACGTCCCCATACTTAGGTCTCAAAATACCCAAAATACACGAACGCCGTTAAAAATAGGGTCGGAACAATCCGTTAAGTTACTTTTTATTGAGCAGTGGAACTTTGATCCATTTCAGATGGATCAACCTAAGACTCGCCGTATCTCAACATACTTATAACAAAATACACTCGGGAAAATTAAATTAAGTACTCACATAGCAGCACACAGGGATTTCAATACAATATCAATATATTGAGCTCAATATCAATATCTTCCATTCAATATCAATATCAATATCAAATAGGATGAAATTTCAATATCAATATCAATATCAATATCAATATCTAAAAGCTCAATATCTCAATATTATCACTATTTTAAGATACCAGAGACCAAATTCAATATTGAATTTCGAAATATATAATTAAATTTGTTTAGTTTTTTTTGCAATGTAACATTTCAGAAACTTTTTATCACCATTTGTTTTATGTGTATGTGTTAAAACGTCACGTTTCAAGTAATGATACAAAATCCGTTTTTCTCAATATCTACAAAAAATTCAATATCAATATCAATATCTAGCCTTCAATATCTCAATATTAAAAATTCAATATTGACATCGTCTCAATATTCAATATCTGATCATTCAATATATTGCAATCCCTGGCAGCACACTTGAGAATCAGAGTAATTAAGCTAATTAGTAACTCTAGCATAAATATAATTGAATATAACTCGAGAAGTTTTCTATCAATGAATTCCAATCAAAGGAAATGAGTTTTAACTTGAGAATATAGTTTTGGGTCTGAACCATTGGGAGACTTCAGTTGTCTACCTTTGTTTCCATTGAAGGTTCACTCTGGTTCAGCTGAATTTCGATCTTCTTTCATAATCACTCTGTCTCCTATATCAAGATAGGACAGCTCTACTCTCCTGTTGTTATTATAATCTCGGAAATTGCGAATAGCAATTTTCTGCTGTTTTTTCTGTCACTTTCCGGCAAATTGTGATTCGGTCGTTCTGATTTTACTTTTGATGTTTTTAGTTGTCGCGAGAAAACTGAGCATGACAGGCTCAATTCGAATTTTTGAAAAATTAAACTTCATCCCAAAATCACGTATTTCGTATTCCTTAAGGTCAAACTTCCAGTTGTCTCCTTGGGAAAGATGATTATCTCAAATTTTAGTTTTTCTCCCTTATTTTAATAGAGAACCAACGAAGGTATTCAAGCATCTTTTGTTGAGACACGAAATTTTTGGTTCAACTTGTTTTTTCAACACAGATAAATATTTTTCGACATTATTCTTATGTATGTTGTTTGCCAAGTGGTGCGAAGCTCCGCTTCGCCTCTGTGTAACAGTTTCATTTTCTTATAGCTTTTTTCAAAATTATCGGACAACGTCTTACATTTTTGAAGTATTTCTGACCTTGAAACAGTGAAGTGGCGTTAAAACTGCAATCGAATATTCAAAACTGATTAGAACTGGCAAAAGAGCTATGCAAAATGATTGCGTTTTTCTTTGGAGAATTTCACTTTGCCTATTTCAAGAGCACAATTGAAAAAAAACTTTTCCGTTCATCAACGATTTGCCAGGCACTTTGGTTCAGCAAAAAAAAACATAAAATGCCGAAGAAAAGGCAAACGCGAAACTTCTGAGAAAAATTTCGATTTAGTTTAAATTTGAAGGTCTAAAATGTTTCAGAAGTTCAATAAGTTGTCCGATAAGTTTGTTAAAAGCTATAAATTATAATGTACGATTTTTGGAAATATTTTAAGCGGATAGGTATCATTTAATGAGCTCATCCTGCTGATGTTGACCCGCAAGATGATGTTTGGCTGTCAATTCAAAAACTCGTTTTTCAGAATGGTAAGGTCGTTAACGTAGCTAGTTTTGCAGGGTTGGTTATGTAAAGCCTAAAACTTGTTTTTGCAATGCAGGCACCGAAAACATGCCTCTCTATTGTCAACATGAATATGTGGGCGCCATCTAAAGAGCAATTGCTCTGTCTCTTTAGTCTTTTTGACGAGAAAGAAATAGAGCGCTGTTTGGCTTACCGGACACAAGAGAACTGTTTGCATAGATTGGCTGGCCTCCTTCTAGTTCGACATGCTTTCTCGAAATTGTTTGAAGGAAAAGAGTTATCGCTGCCCACTTGCTTTGAACGATCGTCTCATGGTACCGTTATCAAAGTTGTAACTGCTTTTGGGTTTCACAGCAGTATCTAGACAACCGCGTATTCAGACACTGTATCAACCAATCAGAATCGAGACAAGAAGAAATTAATAATTAATAATTATTTATTTCGTAAACTAACGATTCTGATTGGTTAATACAGTGTTCGAAAACGCGGTTGTCTAAATACAGACCGCACTCCCTGCTTTTGGTACTAGTTTACTTGTTTGGTCCCGTGATAAAATAGTTAAGATGATTGTTCCCGCCTATTTTCTAAAAAAAAAAGAACAGCCAGCACTGGATTTGAACCTACGCCTTGGGGTTGGTTACCGCATTCGTACCCGCTAGACTAACTAGGCCCGTTTTGACAGCAATGTAGAGAAATAAAAATGCTTACTGTTAGAATTAGCCACTACTGTACCTTGTTTTTTTTTTAGGGACCGCCCCTTTTTTGAGTGACCAAACAAGTAAACTAGTACCTTGCTTTTAATCCAAGGATGAGATGTTATAAAACATGAGCGATAATCGTGTTTTTAACTACTTGGAAGGAAATGCTCAAAGTACAGCTGTTAATCAACATTTCCCTGAAGTGATTTAGAGTGTATTTGATTTGAATGTTCTAGAGACTATTTATGAGGATGCGCTATGGAAAGTTCCGATCGATGTCGGGTATAGAATGGGGTGGAAAACTTACATTTCTATATTGGGGCTCGAATAAAAAAATTATTGATTCTGCCTTGTGTGAAAAAGCAAAAAATACTGTCTTGTTCTTTAAAACCAGTTTTTTAAATAAAAACAGTCAAAAACTCTTAGGGTCCATAAATTGAAATAGCAGCGAAAGATTTAATTGAATGAATTAGTTTCCCATTTTTAGTATCAAGAGATTAAAGATCATGACTTCAGAGATTATTCACATCGGTCTGAACGAATTATTACTTCAGATGAAAGTCAATTGGTTTTAATTAGACAGTGTGCTAAATATATATAATGCACAGTTGAAACCCCCACTCAATTGGCGAACATCTGAAGCCCAAAACGTTTGCACTTTGTCTTGCCCAAATTCTTAGTGAGAATATCAGCCACCATATTGTCAGTCCCAATATAGTTCAAATCCAACTGTTTCTTTTGAATTAAGTCCCTGATGAAATGTAGATGAATAGCAAAATGTTTTACGACTCCCTTGTTAACGTCGTTTTTCACAAGAGAAATACATGCTTGGTTGTCCACAAACATTTTGAAATCAATTAAATCGAGTTTGATTTCGATCAGTAAATTCAACAGGAATAATCCTTCATTACAGGCTAACGAAAGAGCTGTAGCCTCTGATTCAGCTGTAGATTTTGCAACAGTAGTTTGGAGTTTGCTAGCCCACGATATTGCACCGCTGTTTTCAAACAGGAAAAAGCAATATCCACTAGTACTGCGTCTAGTGTCACTGTCACCTCCCCAATCAGAATCAGAATAGCCATACAAGATTGGCGTAGCAGTACATCGTCTGTAGATAAGTTTATACGATCTAGTTCCTTTCAAATATCGTAGAACTCGTTTTGCAGCAATCCAGTGTACTTCAGTAGGGTCGTTCACATATCTACTCAAGCAATGAGCGATGAATGAAATATCAGGCCTTGTAGTAATTGACAAGTAACTTAGACTGCCGATAAGTCCTCTATAATCTTTGTCGTTTGCTAATTTCACCTCATTTGGTAGCCGTTTACAAAGTTTTAAACCATCAGCTGCAGGTGTAGACACTGGTTTACACTCAATCAAACCAAATTTTGACAGTAGCTTGTCAATATACGCTTCCTGAGAAATTTCTAACCCATCCCCACAAAAGTTGAATTTCATCCCCAAAAACCAATAAAGTTTTGCTGTTTCGCTGATTTTGAATTGACTAGATATTTGTTGTTCAAATGATATAAACTTGTTAGCATCATTGCAAGCGTAAATTATATCATCCACCCAAATGCATACGTATTCCAAAACATCTTTTGAAATTCTCATGAAAAGACAGGGATCACTTTTTGACGCTGTAAAATCTATTGACTTAAGGAACATCTGTAAGGTATAGTACCAATTTCTTCCTGACTGCTTTAATCCATAAATAGATTTATTTAGCTTACAAACAAGTTGATTACCCCCACTGTCTTTCTGCTCAAAACCTTCAGGTTGTTGCAGGAAGACATTCTCTTCCAAATTAGCGTTTAGATAGGCTGTTTTTACGTCCCATTGTCTTACATCAAAACCCTTAGCTGTTGAAATTGCTAAAATAAGTCGTAATGTTGCCATTTTTACTGTAGGACAAAAGGTTTCCTTGAAATCAACGCCTTTGATTTGATTGTAGCCTTTAGCCACATATCTTGCCTTGTATCTTGAAATTCCCCCCTCATTATTGTATTTCAAAGTAAAATGCCACCTTCCCCCCAAAATAGTTTGATCCGTTTGTGGAACTAATTCCCAGACATTATTGTTGATCAGAGAATTATATTCATCCTGCATTGCTTTTTTCCAATTGGGGTTAGAAAGTGCATCGTTAGCATTTTTTGGCAAATTATCAACATAAAAAGTTGCATCAGCTAGCCAACACTCATCAAAAATTGTCTCATTTCTAAAAAATGAAATCTCAGGCGCATTTAATTGTTTGATCCGTTCGCTGCGGCGTAATTGATCATTTTCAAGGTTTCCGCCATTAACATTATCCGCAGAATTTTTCTCAGAAATCTCAGAATAGTTTTCAACGCTTATTTCCAATTCCCGTCCAGAATCATTTTCATCGTCATTTTTGAAAGGAAAAACTTTTTCATCAAAAGTAACATTTCTACTCTCCAAAAATTCAAAGTTTCCATCAAGCTCAGTTCCTACTATATAACATTTACTGTTCAGACTATATCCAAGCAGAAATCCTTTCACGGCCCTTGAATCAAGTTTTTCCATGTTTACTTTTTCGACAAACATATATGCAGCACAACCAAAAATTTTTACGTGTTTCAAATTAGGTTTGCTTTGGAAAAATTTTTCGTATGGGGTTACCCCAATTGCAGAATGATAAACTCGGTTTTTCAAGTAGAAAGCTGTTTTCAATGCAAAAGACCAAAATTTCTTTTCCATGCTGGCAGTTTGTAAAAGACATCTAGTTATTGCCATTACACTGCCCCAAGTTCGCTCTATTTTACCATTTTCCTCTGGTGTATAAGGCGCAGAAAATTCAGTTCTTATGGCATTATCAAGACAAAACTGTTCAAACTTTCCAAATTTGAACTCTTTTGGATTATCACTAGCTATTGTTTTTGGTTTACCATAATCCGCTATGAACTGTTTGAGCATCTGAGTGCTATCACTTTTATTTTTCAATAAGTAAACCGCAGAAAATCTTGTGTAGGAATCAATAAAACCTATTGCGTACTTAAAATTGTCTACAGATATCGTATCAATTGGTCCCAAAATATCCGTATGAACAATTTCTAGTTTTTCTGTAGCTCTAGTCCCCCAAACTTTTGGTATCGCTTTCCGCTTAGCTTTTTCAGTTTGACAATCAACACAGTTATTATGTTTCTTTTGGCTAAATTTAACTCCCTCCGTTAGATTTTCTAATTTCTTGATGTCATCAAAATTATTATGACCAAGCCGTTTATGCCAAATTTCTATGTCCGAAACAACCATTGCAACATTTTCCACAGAGTGTTCATTTGCCAGTTCAATTTTCATTTTGAAAAGATCTCGTTGATTTTGAAGCAAAATTTCAGAACTATCTGGTAAAATTATTCTGGGACAAACATCATCAAACATTACATCAGCTTTATTTCTGTTAAGTTTAGATACAGAAACTAAATTTGCCGTATACGTAGGTACAAACAGAGTATCTTTCAGTTCTATAGTTATCAATCGACCATCACTTGTTTGAACTTTAAACGTTACTTTTCCCTTTCCCACAATTTTTGAATTACTTCCATTTGCACAGCCAACATTTCCATTAATATTCGTATCAAGTTCCGTAAAAAATTCGCGTGTTTTAAACATATGCGCAGAGCAACCGCTATCAATCAAGCAAAATTTGTCGGAATTTACGCCAAAATCATTGTCATTAGAATGAAAACTGAAAAAGTCGACAGTGTTTTCATTTTCTGAAGTAAAATGGCTTTTGTTTTGTTGATTTTTTGATGTAAACTGTTTTTGATGGCTGCTATTTGAATGGTTATTTTGGGTATTTTTCCTACAATCTCTAGCAAAATGTCCCATTTGATTGCAATTGTAGCATTTTATGTCTTTCTTGCAATCCTGTTTTCTATGACCTTGCTTTCCGCAACTGTAGCATTTAATAGTTTTATTACTAAAAAACGTTTCATTTGTTGAATTTTTCTGCAAAAAAGTCTTGCTTGTTTCGGCAAAATTTGACAAATCTCTTTTAATCTCGTCCAAGCTTTTTGCATCTTTCGAAAAATTCACCACAGTTGTAAAATTATCAAATTCTTTTGGTAGTCCTTTTAAAAGCATTGCAATCATCATTTTTTCAGAAATACCCTCTCCCGCTTCTTGTAGATTCATTTGCAAATTTTCCGATCTAAGTATGTAGTCCTTAATCGATTCGCTCGCCTCTAATTTCAAATTAGAAATTTCATTTAACATTCTTTGAACACGTGGTCGTTCCGTACTTTTAAAGTAGCTTTGCAGCCGATTCCATGCCGCTGAACCATCTGGTTTATCGCGTTTTATTAGCATTACAGACTTTCGATCAAGGCATTGTATTAATTCACACCACAATTGTTCTTTTCTATCATTAACATTAGTCTCATTTTCACTACTTCCTGGAACATCTGTTCCCTTCAACGTTTTCTTTAAATTCAAAAGAACTATACGAGCTTCAAATTGCTCAGCAAAATACTCCCAATCATTTTCATTTCCCGAAAAAGTCAATTTTTCCAATCTTGTTTGAATACTTCGTGCCATGGTTAAATGTCACTTCAAATTTCGAATTGTAAAACTTCTCTTTCAAAACTTCTCTTTTCTTTCAAAACTTCTATTTTCAAAGTTGTAATTCATACAACCAATTCTTTTCTTTCTCTTGAAATCCTATTCATACAAACCACCGTAGAATTTTACTCTCTGATGCTGTCAGGCGTAGAGTCTCAATTCTTCACGAAATCGCCCATAACCTCTTAGGGTCCATAAATTGAAATAGCAGCGAAAGATTTAATTGAATGAATTAGTTTCCCATTTTTAGTATCAAGAGATTAAAGATCATGACTTCAGAGATTATTCACATCGGTCTGAACGAATTATTACTTCAGATGAAAGTCAATTGGTTTTAATTAGACAGTGTGCTAAATATATATAATGCACAGTTGAAAAAAACGATTTTACTCACATTTATCTTAACTGGATGAATTGAAATTTAACAAACAAATTGAAGTGATTCATAGTGTTTAGGAAAACCCTTCCTTCCCGATGCACCTGATTTCCAATTTAACATATCGCATAATGGAAACTATACTTCAGTCTTTGCTGTTCGTGGATTCCATGCAATATGCGGTTTGGACATGATGGAACTCAATTCCTCTCGCCTCCCAACTTCTATGATTGCTGCCGTCTCTCGGAAATTCAGTGAACAAGAACAAAGTTTTATCAACAATTCTGAATCCGCCGAGGAGCGACGTGCAAAATTTCTGAGAATCTGGTGCTTGAAAGAGAGTTATTTGAAGGCCAAAGGATACGGCCTGAGCGTTCCGTTGGATTCAATTTCTTTCCAGTTTAATCACCCTAATTTAACCAAAGATATCGCTGTCCTCGACACTCAAATTTTTGAAGAAGGAGAACGCGTAGACGTGAAGTTCATGGAGTTACTTTTCGACAATCATATACTGGCAGTGTGCTGGGATAAATTCGCTCCAGAATCGAGTGTCGAAGTGCTCGAACCTGCCGAGTTTCTTAAAACTCAAAATGGAGTCACTAATGTTGATAGCCCTGTGATGCCTCTTGTAAACACTTTTTATGAGAAGCCAAAGTAATACATGATTTGTGCCAACTAGATGTTTTTTTTTAATCAAGAAATCTGAGTGAACTTGAACAGGATACTTATCCAGATAACTGTTTCAGTTACGGATGATTTAGTTTTAATCGTTAGTGCAAATGGAGTTTCTCTCGGAATCCCTGGCTTACGAACCGGTCGGGTTCGTCCAATCGTCCCATGTCTTTCACTACTTCGCTGTTAAAATGTACGTACCAAATTGCGTTCGTATTGTCATGCATGCCAAAAGTTAAATGTTTTTAAAATAAAATTTTGAATATGGATATATATTGTGAGCTCATTAAATGGTTATCATTTTTGTGCGACAACTTTTTTTAGGTCTACGAACTTTGGATTCAGGTTTAATATGTTAAACAGAAGCACTTCATGAGTGTAGAAAGCTTTTTTAGTTTAACAAATTTTTGGCGGTTAATCCCATTTCTCGCATTCGCAAGAAAAGGAGATAAGAGGTTTACTATTTCTTTAATCGCATGATGACAGTTAGCATCAAGATTTCGTTAAAAATTTATTTTCCAAATCAATTTGTTTTCTCTTGAACCTGTGAATTACAACTCTGGCATCGTCTTCGGAATTACAGATTGAATGCTCACTATGAAAATTGCCAGTCAGCAATTGTTCGAAGACACTTACCTCGAAAACAAGGAAATTTTCGATGAAATGTCCCACGAAGAAATTGTAACAGAAACTGTTAACCAACTGACGAGTCAAGGTGTAAATCTGCAAAACATTCTTTGCTCTGCTGGCGATTTTACTCTAGCTGAAGATGATGTCTTTGTGTACAAAGTTTTGTCAGCTTCTGATGAGTTTTTTGCCAATATGAACGAGCAAAATGCTCAAAATCTTATAAATTCGCTGAAGAAAGACCTAGCAACGCGTGTGTTTGCAGCTAAACATGGATGTTATTCAAAGCTAATGGAAAACCTTAGTAGTTGCGATATTAACGTCTTGGAAGTCCTGTGCGCCATTTTGGAGAAACAACCAGATCTGGTCAGTTTTGCTGATATAGAAACCATTTTAGCAGTTTTCAAGAGTCTAGTTGGGAGCGATGGTAAAGATGCTGAGCTCAAGAGCTTGCTCTCAATTTCGGTCAATATTTGTACACTTCACGAGGGAAATAGACAATTCATGGTCAAACTGAAAGCACCTGAAGTTATTTTGGAAGCCATGCAAAAGTTCCCAAAGCTTTTCGTCTTGAGCTGCAATGCTCTTCGAGTGTTTCTATTGGACGACGACGTTCGCGTTCCGTTCGGAAAAGCCCACGAACATGCGCAGCATATAGTGGGACAACTTGATGGAATAACCAAAGTAGTAGAAAGTTACAAAGCCACGAATCAGGAACTGGGAAGCAGTTTTGCACTGTTTTCGACTCTTGGAAAGTTCTGCGTTAGGAATGAATACTGCCAACAATGCGTAGATATCGGAGCTTTTGAAATTGCTACTGAACTTCTGGAATCAGACGAGTTAAGAGGAAACGAAAAGTTTGTGCTGTCATTGCTGGCATTCCTGAAAACTGCAGGTGGAAACGATGATGTAAAAGACAAAATAGCCGAGCAAGGTTTCCTCAAATCGATTATGACAATATTGGACGAGTTTTCACATAGTGAACAAGTTTGCAACGCCGCTTTAGTGACGTTGTCGGTTGTTGTTTTAAGGAAGCCTCAGTACTCGAAACAAGTTTTCGATGACAATTTTGCTCAGATTGTAGTTTTGCTACTGGATCGATACAATGATAGTGTTAAAGTACAGGAATCGGCGTTTTTGGCAATCAGGACCTTGGTCAACAGGTGTGACGAAGGTAAACAGTTGTTGCTTGCTAATGGAGTTGAAGAGTACCTGCAACAAGCTGCAGGCGAAGTGGAAGAGTTGAAACAGGTTGCAAACGATACACTGAGAGTGCTGGAGTCTACGAAGGGAACATTTAGTGAACCATGGACCGGACAACAAGGAGACAGGATTGCACAAGACTGAAAAAAAGGAACCGAATATGTAAAATCTCTCTCAATTTATTAAGACTGTTTGCTAAACGAACTGAAAATCTTTCACGTTCTACCTCTGAAAATGCGTGCCAATTAGACGATTAACAAACTACGCTCTTAAATTTACTTGATATACATTTACAAAAGTAAGGCGGTGATTGCACGTAATAGAGGAGTCTTAATGATTTGATTGATCGTTTTACCAAATTTCACGTTTGTTTGTAAATTTCATCGAGTGTCTGATATCAAAATATAATTCTGTAAATAAAATTTTGTATGTTTTCATATTCACCAAATAAACAAATTAAATGATTCGTCTCTATATGGGCTTTTTGTTCCGACCATTGAAAATGAGAACGAACTTTGTATTCGGGGGTGTTTTAGTTTTTTTCTTTTAATTTTCCACGCAAAATCACTACTACAAATAATCATCGGACTGGGTTGAGTGATATATAAAATTGAATCCCTTTCAGTCGTGATTCTAACGACATTTAAAAAACTTTAAAAAGTTTTGCTAGTGTCGAGAAAAACCGGTTTGAAATTACTGAACTTTCGTCTTATTTTGAGCTTGAGAGAGCCTTGAATTTAAGCCTTGAAAATTATGTTTTACTCAAATGAATGTAGTTCTTAGAGTTTTAAGCTTCATCTAAGGAATTAAAAATTTGGGAAAAAGTTTTGAAAATTAAAAAAATTTAAGTCTTTTGTTTTTCTTTTTATTTGTCTTCAAAACTAGTTTTCCAATTTGCTTATCTTACAATGATTGAATCTTTTTTCACTCAGATTCCCTTATCACACCACACCGAAAAAACGACACCAAATTATTTTGTAATTTTTTAAGACTGGTCGTGCCATTCTGTGCTACTTGCACAGTAACTGGCTATCCTTATTTTTTTTACTGAATTCTGTTCGCGTATTCAGATAACCTAGAACGCCATGGACTCGAGTCTAGCCATCTGTTTACCCTTGCGATAAAGAACTTTCCTGTAAAGAACTTGCTTCACATCTGGATTCATCTATTTTTCTGGACACATCCGTTTTCAAAATTCTTAGCAGTCACTGCTTATTTAGCACGGAAGTACACTTAAGCCTGGGACCTGTTTTTTCAAATGGGAAATATTCAGTTTCGAATAACATTGTCGGCCAGTTATTTGTCGGCTTAGTTTTCACAACTTGGAATCGTTTTTTTTTGCTGCGCGCATGTTGCTTCTAGTGATTGATTAACTCCTACTATTTAAACTATTTATTCTTGACGTCGTGTTTTTTTTTGTTTCGCTCAAAAACTTCCTTCAGTCCAAGTTATTTTTATTTTTTAAAGGTACCTTGATTTAAAATGCCAAATTTAACAACATTTCGATTATAATCGAGCCTAATGATAACCGGAATATCATAGGTTCAATTAAACCTATGATATTTTACTCATCAAAGGTTTAATCAAAAAAACAGATTGTTGAAAGCCTACCTTTATGAATGGCTACGCCAATTTGTTTAAGAAAAAATTATGGCCTTCAAACAAGTCAAAGTTTTGAAAATTTGACCAGTTTTTGGAAGCTTTTTTATTTTAACTCGAAACCTACTCTGCCAATTCTCAGGTTATGTGGTCAATTGAGAAACAACCGAACTTTTCTGCTTAAGCGGCCACAACCTGCTTTTTGCAGAAAAACTTTTTTGGATTTCGGAAAGTCTTTTGAACGTTTTGTTTTAAGATTTCGAGTGTTTTTGAAACTTTGTGAGTTATCTTAAAAACTACTCCATCAAATCTGAGACAAAAATTCAATTCAAAGAACTGATTGCGAGATTTGTTCATGTAGAAGCGGCGAATCTTTTTTTACAGAGAAATGTTGTCCTTGGGAAATTTCAATTATCTAAAAAGTTTTGACTCTTTTCACTTATTTTGGTAGAGAAACAACTAAGGTTTTGGGCGAAGACCAATTTTTGAAATCGCTCATTTCGTCGTGCATCATTATAACAAATCTATACCATATCACACACGTACCTCCAGCTTTAGCTGGCCCTAGTTGTTTTTTATCGAGAAAGTTTTGATTCACCTAGTTTTTTCAACGTTTTAAATTTTTTTTAATGTTTGTGTTGTTTCGCATTGAAAGTTAACGTTTCCTTAGCTTCACTCTAAAGCAGTGAAGACTTTCAGTAATAATCACTGGAGGCCTTAAATTTGATTACATAATTTAAAAAGAGATGGATTGCATGACGAGATGAATTATTTCATTTGACTTTATTCTAAAATAACGCACATATAAACTCAGGTAATCTCAAATGAAAAGAGCTTTTCAAAAAAAAGCGGTTGTGACAAGAAAAAACCGTGCTTGCAATTTCTTTTTGAAAAATATTGCTCTTCAATGGATGCTTACTAGCATAATAATTAAATGTACAAAAGTATGCCTGGTTATTGCAACCGGGTAATTCACTATTTTTCCCCAGTAAGTAACTTTGGTCACTGGATGACTGAACTCGGGATGATTACAATTGATAATAGTAGGCATGGCTTTTTTCTAAGTACTGGACCTTATGTTACGAAAAGTGCAAAAAAACTCAGGAGTAAATGGACGGTTTTTTCATCTTGTCATAAGTTTTGTGGGCTTACTTGTTATATATTTTAGTTCAGAAAGTTTTTAAATATATTTTAAGTCAATAAGTTTCTTCAATTCAATTTTGAGCTCCGTAAATATCAGTCCCAAGAATTTTCGTTTCTTATGCCAACCAAAATATTGCATAAGTAACGAAAAAGACCTGTGAAAGAAAATGTCAGGCTTTTCAGCTGCATGCTGGTTAATTTTTTTTAATGTAATTTTTTGAAAGTAGTTTCTTGAAGCTTAGCATCGCAGTTCTCGTTAGATCTGAGCTTCGTAGTTCTCGTGTTAATTGAATCAAGGTGAACACCATTCAAATTTATTGAAAAAGGGCAAAGTTTAAAAAAAACTAAATGACCTGAATGTTTAGTTTTGAAAAAGACGGTTAGCGAGAGTTGTATGAGTTTCAAGAGTATATATTTTTTTCTGGTGATTTTTTTTTGATATTATCTTGAATTTTTACATCTAAGTTTTATTTTTATAACCCGGAAATTTTTCATTTCCGTCTACGGTTGTAAGCAATTTATCCTTCCCTGGTGTAGAAACTTCGTAATATTCTGGAATGATGTAATTGGATTGACATTGGCATTCAAGATTGCTTATTAGGTTTTCTACAAGAAATGTAT